TCTGGTTTTGATGTTAGGGTAACACTGGCTTCATAAAAAGACTGGAGAAGTGGTTCCTTCCTCTTCTATTTTTCTAGAAGAGATTGTATCGACTGTACTTTAAACATCTGGTTTTGAATTTAGCGCTTTTCTGTGTATGGGAAGATGCAAGAGTCTGGGCTCAGTGAAATCATTCCTTTGATATGCACCTTAACTTTCTAGGCTTTTCTCCATCCTGAATTCCTTCAGGGTGCACAGCTGGGGGAGGCTGCAGTGCTGATGGCTTGATGGCCACAACATCCTTTGTTTACTGATGTGGCAGGTGACATTCTTGTCCACACTCTCATAATCTTGTGGTGGGACTTCAGAGGTAGTGCCGTGTTTCACTTTGGCTGCTACTCTGTGCCTTTGTGTTTATGAGGACTTTGAAATAAGCATCATTTGTGAGCTATTCAGGGTGGCCAAGACCTCTGTTGGAACATTTTGTGTGTGTCCTTTAAGAGGCATCTACACTTCCATCGACTACATTTTACGATCTTCATGGTGGGCTCTCTCATGCAAAAGGTGACAAGTTCATGGCCTTAGGAGCAGGTGCCAGATACTTCCACTGATCGCATTTCAAAGATTCTTGTGATGGAACAGGCAACAATTCCATGTTAATTCACTAAGTCATTCACTTGTTTGACAAATGAACAACGCCTCAAGGATCTTATTTGCTAAAGTGGAGACATTAAGGGAACAGTGGTTTGCAGCCAAGGTAAATGTGAGCTGTGTTCGAAGTCCTGTGATTCAGAGTAGAGGGTTTCACAGCTCATCAGAACTCATAGTCTGACCTGCATAACGTGCCTGTTTCCTTAGAGCACTTCCTGTACCAGCCCTGGGCATCTGTGGAAAGGCGTGGTCCCTTTCCTCCTGAAATGTTCCTGGAGGGAGACAGATGTATCCCTGATCTTATTTGATGAGGACTCTATGCATGTGGACAAGGGGTAGAGGGTACAATGAGTTTCGTAGGGGGTGTCAGTGAAGCCTTTGCTAAGAGGTAACACATAAGCCCAGTGTCCTGGAGGACATGCGGGCACGTGCCTGTCTTGTGAGAGAAAACAGTACTGTAAGGCACAGAGATGTGAAAGATCATAGGATACAGGAGGAGATGCAGCTGGCTGTTATCTTAAAGGGGCAGTCAAGGGCCTGTGAAGCTGCAGAGAGAAGTCCGCCTGGATGGGGCAGGAGGGTAGCTTGAGCTTTGACATGTTGCTTGCTTATTCCCATTGAAACGAACGCGTGCTGGTTATCATTCTGCACATGCGTAACTCTGTGCCCGACCCTGAGTTGCGGACTCTGATGCCTCGATGTCTTAGGGAGCTTGCTGACCCTGGAGGTCTAGCCAGTTTCCAGAGGTCTGAAAGGCAAGTGAGGCTTTCCTAAGCAAACCAGCCACTCGGAGCCCACAAGCCCTGCCCACCTCCTTCATGATTTCGCAAAGAGGCTGCAGCCCCTTCAAAGTCAAGACCCGCTGCTCAGATCAGGGGTACGTTGGGCAGATTTGAACTGGGAAATCAGAATCACTGCCCCTCCACAAACTCGCTGTGGCTTGTAATAAAGTTCCCTTTCTCATCTCGATGGTTTGCTTTCCTGACTTGCTAAGGTCAGGCCCGAGGGGGAGGGCGGAGCCTGCAGGGCTTGTATTAGAGCAGATCGGGCCCATGGTGAGGACCGCGGAGAAGGAGGGGAGGGGACAGCGGGGAGTAGCAGTACCGCCCGGGGCTCTCAGAGATGGGGCACCCACACAGGCCCCGCCCGTCTCCCCCTGCACAAATGTGATTAGGCCCCCGCAGAGCGCCTGAAATCAGGTTAGCATCACTGAGCTGAGCTGGGGTAATCAGAGCCCGGAGCGGAACAGGTGCTGGGCTTTAAAGCGGTGTCTGAGAGTGAGGACAAGCTGACTCACAGCCACTAGAACACCAAGCACGCAGGGCTCGCCCCTCCCCTTCCTGCCCGCCTGGAACAGCCTCGCGAGAGCCTGGATCCCCGTGCCGCCCACGTGCCGCCTGGAGAGCAGCAAAGGGCTGGGGTCGGTTGGAAGGGCCGCGGGCACGGTCCAGCATGCTGCGTTCTCTAGGCGGCAGGACCAGAGTTCACGCACCTGGGCTCACCTTGTGCCCTGCTCCTGCCTGCGTGTCCCTGGACCAACCCCCCACCCCGCCACAGGAGACTCACTTAAACCAACTGTGAAGTAGGGGTCCCTGAAGGCATCCAGCTCAGGAGGGTCGTGATGACTGAATATAATCTCTGCAAAGCTCCCAGGCCTAGCTGAGATGTGTTCTCTCCTGAGGCTACTCCTAGGACTGGGCAACATTTTCTTGTTGTTTTTACAGAATGCTCCATGCTCAGAAGAAAAACATCAATAACTACATAAAAAGCTAGGAATATAGGGTTTATATTAACCAAATCTCATCATAAGAGACAAGCAGTACTAATATTTGGTGGAATCGTTCTAGACACACTCCTGTGTACACATTAATGGAAAATAATTTTAACAACTATTTAATAATTTTTAATGTTTAGGTGTAATTTTAAAAACAGAAGGTATGGCATTTATTTCCATTAGAATTTAGCTGAGGAAAATGAGATGAAACTGAAGGAATTGCTGAACTACAGAAACATCATTCCTAAGAGACTCTTAAAATTGAGAAAATAAATGACAAGTGATATTAAGAAGGTTTAATCATCCTTTGGTTTTTTGAAGCTACATGGTTTATGACATAGACATAGCATTTTAAGAGTTCCATGCTCTACCTACCAAACTAGGCCCCTTAGACAAAGCATTTTAGTATTCAGTTATATATTGCAAACACCAGAGAAAAATGGTTCACTGACTTGGATTCCCACTAAGTCATTTATCCTGTCAAGATGAAACAGATGTGGAGAATGCTTGGCACTTGGACAAGGGAGGGGATGGGCACAGAGGCGGGGAGGAAAGGGGCTGAGAATCCACGGGAAATGTTGAGGCTGGTAGGTCTACACCGGCAGACCTTAGGGTCTGGGCAGGTCCTGGTCTAGTGCATTTGTGTTGTAAGTGAGAAAACAGAAACCCAGCAGGTGCCAATGTGATGCAGAACTGGGCCTCCAACCCTGGCTTCTTTGCCCCAAATGCTCAGCTTCAATGTCTGTGTATTCATCTTGCCTTTTTATTATCTGTGTTGCTGATGTCTGGATGTCTTAAGGACCTTGCTGACCCTGGAGGTCTAGCCAGTTCCTGGAGAGCTGAAAGGCAAGTGAGCCTTTCCTAAGCAAACCAGCCACCCAGAGCCCACAAGCCCTGCCCACCTCCCCGTTATGAGTCTCTCACACTCCAGGCCACAGTCCTCCTTCCCTGATCTCCCCAGAGCCAAGGACCAGACAACCAGGGCAGTCCCTGTGCCTCACAGCCTGCTGAAATAATCTGAAATAATTCACACTTGTCGATCCTAAACCTGCCTGCTCTGCCTCACCTGTTCCTTTCTGCAGGGAGCCCATAGTTCCCGCCCACCTTTTCCCTTCCCTCTGCCTCCTGACTGACCCTGATTGCTTCCCTGTGTGGCTCTGCATGGCATGGCATCCCCTCTCCCCGTGGGTATAACGAGCTATCTTTTTAGTGGCAATGTCCTCCCAACCTGTTGGCCTCGCCACACCTGAATAGCAAAGCAACACTCTCTCCGGCCCAGGTGACTGTGTCAGCTGAGCCATCACAGAGCAGAACTCATGCCTCCCTGGCCAGAGCACTTTAACTTCAGGTCAAACGCAGGTGGTTGCAGATGAAATGCACCAGAGAGGCCTCCAACTGGGTTCTCAGGTTTCCTAGCTTGCCTGTTTCCGACCCCTGTGTCTCTCTTCTCAGGGCACAGAGCATTGCTGGGGGCGCCATAAAGGCCACACAGATTGAATGAAATTTCACAGCCTTATCACATCGAAAGAGAAATTTCATTATCCAGACTGCACCCGCCATTGTAAATCAATTAGGCTCTTTGGTTTGGAAACATAAGATGCTTTCTGATCATTTGGAGAGCGTTTGCTTGCAGCAAATGTTTCAGCACCTATTCTGTGCCAGCAAAGTGTGAGTTCCTAGCAACACAAAGAAATAAGATGTAGACCCTGGTTTCAAGAGTTTCATGGGCCAGGAGGGAGAGACAGCTTTGTGAGTGGGAATTTACAAGTCAGGCATGCAGGTGTGATCACAGAGCTGCAGGGCGCTCAGGGAGCAGAAGTGAGACGGCAGAGAATTCCCAGCCACGTCTCCCAGCTGGGTGACCAACTGTTCTCAAAGCTTTCTCGGGACACCCTTTAAGAATTATTTTCAGGGTCGGGAGGGCTTTCTCGTGAATTTCCTTAGGAGAGCAAAGCTTCATCTTTTGAGGGTTGAAGTTAATCTTTGGGAACAGTTTCATTCAGAGAGAAGGGCAGCAGATGAACACCAGTGAGTGATGTTGTTGGTCAAACTCTGAGCTGACCCGGAGGCTGATCCAGAAGAAACATCGCACGAGGTCTGGAGCAGCCCCAGCCAGGCCGATAGATGCAACAGAATGAGCATCATTCTGTGTGCTTGCTCTGCACACACACACACACACACACACACACACACTCAGCTAAGAAAATCCAGACTCCTACTTCATGGAAGGAATGATATCCCTACAGTCAATATATACACTTGTATCAATAAAGCAGAACACAGGGAACGCTGTTCACATGATATGGGCCTTCCTTCCCATCCCTCTGCATCCCGGGAAATCTGTGCCAGTGCCCTTTGTAATCTCACAGCCTAGTTTTCTGTTACCAGCTCTGTTTCTCTCAACCTGTTATGATGCTTCCGTGCAAATATTAAATACGTATCCACAGACTCACCTCTCCATCCAGCACACGTTCAGCCAGCATGTGGATTCAGGCTGTGGGCCCCATCTGGGTAGGGGTGGTAGCTGTGTGTGTGTGTAGGGTACGGCAGTGACTATGATGCAGGGCTGAAAGGACCTCTGCTTCCTGCTCTCCAGGTGGTGGCCACGCTGGGGACCACGTCCTGCTGCTCTTTTGACAACCTCTTAGAAGTGGGTCCCATCTGTAAGTATCTGATTAAAATTTTCTTTTGGAAAATGTTCTCAGTGTCCGGGGACTTCAGTAGACTGCTTCTTTGGTCTCTCCTTCATAATATTAACTTCATATCACAATGTAGTATATAAAATGTAATATAATTCTATAGTAATAAAATATATTGATATAATATTAACATAATTAAACTTATTGCAGGATAGTTTGCCAAACTCTTCTCGTGTTTACAGTGATGCAAACCTCCTTAGCTTGAACCCCATAAACTCAGAATTCGGGCTAATTGGACAAAAGCTAAGCTTAGCTGTACCAACACGCTACTGGTAAGAAAACTGTAACAGTGAGGACAGATTACAAAGGCTGTGTTGCCCCTGGTTGAGGGGAATCAGCTCTTCAGACTCTCAGAGGGTCGTGTGTGTGATGGCAGGAGAATTTTCTGTCCTTGGAGTAGGTCTTCCAGCATCTTTTTTTGCCTTTTTGGAATTCCTGAATATAATTGAGCAAATTAAAGTGATTAAGCAAATCAATATCAAAAAACTGGACTTCTCCCAAGAAGAGTGTGTGCTTTGTGTGTTTGCCTGGCCCCCTTACCTCCCCCTCACTGGAGCACTGAGGTTTTCTCCAAGAGACAAGAATTCAGAGAATTCAAGGGTGAGCCCTGAATAAGCGGCTTCTTTAAGCTGAGGCCCTGGGAACTCAGCAGGCCCAGGAGGTTTTCTGTGGCCAGAAAGCCTTTCCTCGGGCAGGGGTCCTGGCTTGTGACCCACTCCTCCTCTGTCCTCGGGGTAGGGGGGCCCGTCCCACTGCTGCAGGTGGACCTGCTGCCCCGGGAAGGGGAGGGCTGGGTGGCAGGAGTCATCGGAACGGTCTGGGTGTTTCATGGCCGAGCTGTGGCTTGTGCCACTGGGACCTGGCTCACTGCCCGTCTGTGGAACCCCAGCGGTCTCTCGCCTCTCCTCACCTGGGTCTGCCTGTGGACCACACTCAGGGGGTGCGAGAGTGGACCCTCTCTTCCCCGGTGTGAGTGAAGTCTGATGGAGTGCGCTGGGAAGGCCTCCGTCACAGGCAGCCGTGGTGCAGCCCAGGCCACCCTTGAAGCCGTGTGCCTCAATTCGGAGCTGTGTCCCCATCTGTGAACTAGAGATGGAAACAACACTTACTGTAAAGCGATGGGATTCTGAATGGACAAGTTAATGCATGGAGAGGGCGCGAGACAAGAGCGAGAGAGGAGGGCTTCCCTGGTGGTGCAGTGGTCGAGAGTCCGCCTGCTGATGCAGGGGATACGGGTTCGTGCCCCGGTCTGGGAGGATCCCACGTGCCGCGGAGCGGCTGGGCCCGTGAGCCATGGCCGCTGGGCCTGCGAGTCTGGAGCCTGTGCTCCGCAATGGGAGAGGCCACAACAGTGAGAGGCCCATGTACCGCAAAAAAAAAAAAAAAAAAAAAAAAAAAAAAAAAAAAAAAAAAGAGCGAGAGAGGAGCCTTCGTGATCTGGGGGACGTGGAGCCGGTGGCCGGTTAGCCAAGTGGCCACTGGTGTGGCCTGGCCCGTTCCCATGGGCTCCCCCACTGTGACTGTGGCAGATGTCTGTCTGAGAAGCTGGCCGGAGGCGGGGCTGCAGGGCTGGGGGCTGGGAGCCGGGAGGAGGGACAAGCCAGTCGTGGCTGCAGCGGTGGCCTCACGAGCTGCAAACCCTGCTCCCAGGCCAAGGCGCTGAACCCCTGGACTCAGATGTCAGGCCAGGAGCTGGACATCCTGGCCCGTGGCCGGCTGATGTCACTCCAGGGCCATGGGATTAGAGGGCTGGGTCACCTGCCGGGCACAGCCCACAGGGTCCTGCCGCCCCAGCGCCGGCTGTCCTGATGTCCAGGGGCTCCCCCGGCGCTCGGGCCCGGGGGCCATGGGAAGAACCGGATCGGTGATGCGTACGGTGCCAGATGCCGAGGCTGTTCTGGGCAGGCGTGGCGAGTGCCACAACACTCCACTCGCTGCCGAGGTTTATCCACGAAGCTGATTTGGGCAATTCTGTTCATTACCAGCCATGCTCTTACTAATCATCGGTGGTGACTTGACGGTGAATGAGCACCTTTCACCTGCTTCCCCTCCTCTGATGTCATTTACTTGAGTCACCAAATATTTAGCATCCTTTAACTTCAGACAGGACCAGGCCCACCTTGTTCTACCGTGTGGTTGGACTATACCATTAAAATAATTCAGATTATTTATCTGCGCACCACTGCGTGACCAAGAGAGCACGTCAAAACTCCGTTTTCTCCCAACTGCTGCTTTAGGAAAGACACTTTCTGTTTAGCTCCTTTCCAAACAATTTGCCAGAGAGACTGTTTCAGTTGGTCCTCTTGGACCGGTCAGTGGAATTTCCTGGCAGATTTTATTGAGAACAGGAGGAGAAACAGAAAGCAGAGAGTTGCACGTAGACAGGCAGGCAGTGTGAAAGTGGGAAGCGGAGGTCCCAGGGGTGTGGCAGGGGGAGGGGTGCCTGGCGAGTCTGTAGCTGATGGTCCGGAGGCCTGGCCACTCCTGTCCACGGGGGCCTCGGAAGGAAACAGGCAAGGCAGTGGGGGCCCGACAGGAACAGGGGCTGCCCCTTCCCTCTTGGACGCATCAGAAACCTCCCCGTCGAGGCGGCCTTACCTGCGTGCTGGGTGGGCCTCGTCCTGGCCATGCGACTCCTGTGCTCTGGCCTTGGGGTCTCAGTGACCCCTAACCCCTACAGATACCCACCATATTCGGTGGGCACGGAAGGCAGGTTGTGCTGTCAGCCGATCACACGTAAGACTTGGGATGCAGAGGTGGTGCTCGAGGCTGTTCCTCTCCCCGTGGAGAGAAGAGAAGCCCATTGGGAATCCACTCCCCACGGGCGTCTGGAAGTTCCTCCTGCAGGGGTTTTAGGCCAACTACACGGTTAGAGGGAATCCAGTCCCTCAAAGGCTGTCCCTGGTCCTGACACCAACTCCAAGGTCAGGGCTTCCAAAACTTCCCTCAGGTTTGATGCTCCACACCTGAGAGCATACTTGTGGTTACGGTTTATGGCAGGAAGAGGTGCCTGGGGCAGAGTGGGGAAGGGTCCAAACTTGGGGCTTCGGGTTGTCCTCTCCTGTGAAGTCACCCTGGGTCCCCCCCACCAGCCCTGATGTGTGACAGTAGGCCCAGAGAGCGGGCCCTCCCTGCCAGGGAAGCTTGCCGAGCCTTCGGTGTCAGGGTTTGTACTGGGCTGTGTTACACACTGGCCGGGAGGCTGCCCTCCTTCCCCAGCCCCTCCTGGACGTCCAGCTCATACCTTTTGTTCCCAGTCCTTCAGGGCTCAGGACTGACATGGAATAGCCGTCTGGGGGCCGCAACTCCTCTCAGGCTGGGCCTTCCAGGGGCTAGAGTTCCCCTCCCTGGAGCCGAGGGCAAAGGCCAGAGCTCTTCTGGGATAAGGTTAGTTCTCTCTGCCACCTTCTTTCTGGTGCCCCGCTTTCGAAACCCTGAGCGGCCCCCCGTCATTCCCCACCCACTGCCCCTCCTGGATCTCCTGTGCCCTCTGGAGTGACAGAGCCTTGGGGGCTGGCAGCGTTACAGCCCCGTCCTGGGGGTTCAGGGTCAGATCTCTCCTCCATCTGCCCCGGGGTAGGCCCGGCTAAAGTAAGGGGGTGTGGGTTTTACTGTGTTACAAGCATCCCTCTCTCAGGGTGAGGGCCAAAGGGGAAGGAGAGCCCGTCTGCAGCTCCCAGACTCCGTCCCCTCCTCCAGCCCTCACGGCTGTGTCCCTCCTGCCTTGTCTGCCTGACCCTTCGCTGCTCAGTCCTGAGCCAGACGCAGTCAAACTCCACCCAAGCGCCTCCATCTGAAAATGAAGCTTCCCTTAGCAGCTCCCACGGCCTTGAGGAGAACACAGACCTGCCTTGAGATTTTGTGTCTATCCTGCACGTGCGTCTGAAGCGTCTCCCTCCCCTCAGCGGGTCTGAGCTGCAGCAGCAACAGATGACAGCATTGCTGCAGCGGTGACGGCCGTCCTGTCCTTTCCTGATCCCCTTTCTCCCTTCCTGGCTCACGGCCACATCCATGGGGGGCTCCACGGGCGCCTGGGGAGGCTGGTCTGAGTGCAGCGATGAACCCATAAGACGTGCTTTAGGCTCACTCAGCGTGATCCTCTGTGGCAATATCACCACCCCCTGGACACATTTGATCCTGATCCAACCAAAGGCTTCATCCCTTCCATCCTGAAGATCAAACTGAATCGGGGCTTTGAATTGCCCCTTCTGTCTTTTATCAGCAGAGCTCAGAACCACTCCTCACTTCTCATAGCATCGTGTGTGATGAATCAGCCTCACGCATGCAAAAGTGAACCGTGAATCCATCCACCAGCACAAATGCAGGTGCCGATGGACCCCTGCCAGGGTGCCCTGAACTGGCGCTCCTGGGGCAACTCCGCGCCTGGGAGGGAAGGACGCCCACCCCTTGCTGCAGACCCACAACCTCTCCTGATTGCGTATTTCACGGCTGTGGGCAGTCTGCAGCACGGAGGCAGGAAATAATCACGGGGATCCCGTCGCTCCTCTAGGAGCGAGTCTGTCCTAGTGTCGTGACGGGCACATACGAGTGTTACCTAGTTTGTCCCTCAAGGTCTGGGTGCCGTTTCATCTCCATTTGCTGAGAGGGGAATGAGCTTGCAGGAGGGCAGTAAGACCACACGGCAGCTGGGTGGCTGGAGATGGGAGTTGAGCCCAGATACGCTCGAATTGAGGGAGCACATTTATTTTTTATTTTACTTTTTTTTTGGCCGCACCATGTAGCATGTGGGATCTTAGATCCCCGACCAGGGACCAAACCCGTGTCCGTTGCAGTGGAAGCTTGGAGCCCTAACAACTGGACCGCCAGGGAAGTCCCGAGGGACCACATTTAGACAGGACTCTATCCCAGCTCAAAGTCAGGCAGGTGCTCTTCCCGCGAGACTTTTCCAGTACTGCTGGAACACAAAAATCTCACTCATGAAGGGAGCTGAGAATGATCTCAGGAAGTATAAAGCAGGTGACTGAACTTCCTGGAGAGACCAGTGTGGACTGCGTGGTCCCAGCCTTAAGAGATGCTTGTGGGAAGGACTTCAGACCCAAGAGAATCAAGGAGAAAGTTCCCCGAGGGTGGGGTGGGGAGGGCAGAGCACGGCACCTGCCTGGAGTAGATGTGGGTGGACGGGCTGCTGGTGTGGGGTAGGCTGGTTCCTTGGAGCTCTGCTGGGTGTGAGGGTCAACACCGAGAGTCAGGGATTCCCCTCACCTCCACGCGTTCTCTGAGTTCTGGTCCCCGTGCCAGGCACCGTCGGGGCCAGTAGCACACGGCCTCTGCCTCAGCATCACTGCTTGTCAGGGATGCAGACGTCAGGCCAACAAATGCTCTTGACAGACTGTATTTGAGAAGATGCTGGGCTGGGACAGGTGCTCTGACCCCGGGATGAGGGCGGCCCTCCGAGTGCTCACAGGTCGCTTCTGGGCTTCAGGTCGCGAGGAGGACGTGTGGCTGCATGTGGACGCTGCCTACGCGGGCAGCGCCTTCATCTGCCCCGAGTTCCGGCATCTTCTGAATGGAGTGGAGGTGAGTATGCTCTTCCACAAGAGCGTTTTTAAAAGGTATCCTGTGACCAGTGACTTCTCCTTACAAGGATGTGACATTTATAATTTTTACTACTGTGGTTTGTTTCAGCAAATGACTTTCAAACCAGTTTCTGTGATGAGTGGAGGTTACACTTCCCTGTGACAAGGGGTGAGAACCTTCCCGATCATACAGCCTTGTCTTCTCAAAATACACCTGACATTTACACTGTTTCTCCGTCTGCAAATCCTGGGCAGAGCTATCATGATAGGATAGAGTTGAGCTTACCAACGGTGGGAACCTGTTTAGGAAGAAAATAATATCTGCATGTGTTTCAGATCAAGGGATAATTTTTTTAAAAAACAACCTGCAATTCCATTTGATCTGGATCAATAGTCATGTTCTGATCACGCAACTGAGTATGATGTTCACTTTCACTGAGATGGAAAAAACAGCCACCAGTGCGTTTAAATGTCCTGAGCACTTTCAGAATTTGGAAAACATGGCCTGTAATGCCAGCTAGAGCATCTGCTGCTTCTGAGAAACAGCCACCGAAATGATTGACAGATGCTTTTCTTCTCCAGGGTGCAGAGTTAACACTGAGTGATGATCTTAGGGGTGGGCCCTGAGGAGTTGTTTCAGGCTGGAGCCGGGGTTCACTGTCGGCAGCTCATGGGGCAGGAAGTTCCTCCTTGCCAGGGACTCAGATGTACATGCAATGAAGGGTCCAGGGTGGCAGACTTTGTCAGTGAGCGGGGGAAGAGGGTAGAAAATCAAAGGAGGCCAGTAATGGCTTCGTGCTCAGAGGCAGGGTTTTCTCGAGACCTTGACCTCACGACGTGCATGGTCTTGGGCCTTGGACAGCTGGGGTAGGCCTGGCTAAAGTTTGCATCCTGGCTTTGCCCTAGGACCAGCCATGTCCCCTCGGGCAGGCTGGTATCCTCTCCCCACCTCACAAGATGGATTTCGTAATCATGCCTCCTTTGAGGGGTTGCTTTAAGCATCAGAGAAGTTAACAATATTTCAAGGGCTGAGAAGCAGCGTCTGCATACAGCAAGCTATGCACGCATTCCACACCATTATCATTTTTCACCACGACCTGGAGAGACCATCCCTCCAAACCTCCCTCTGCTCTATTGCCTGCCACCGATCAATTTTCTAGTGACTAATTTGGATCCTCATAACACCATAATACCAGCAAAGTGGGTGTCAGAGGCATAGAATACAAAATTCCCCTCTTTGGGATGAATAATGCCTTTATCACTAATGAATGAAGGCGCATTCTGGTTTATAGCTCCCTCACATCCATCCATTTATTCACTCATTCATTCAATAATTACTTATTGATCACTGAATGTGTGCGAGGGCTTAGATCAATCCTCGGTGGGTAAATAGAGCTTCCAGAGACCTCTGGAAATATTGGGAAGGGGTGTAGTACATGAGAACTTCTGGTAACGGGAAGCTCACACTGGCCTCTATAGTTCATGGCTGGTAGCTAGTTAGGTGGGTGTTTGGTGCTAGGAAGTGAAGAATAAATTTCTGTACCATGTAAATACCTTTTGTTGTGGTGCTGTGGTCTTGTGTGTGATGATACACATCACTGGGAATGTCTGTCCCTATGGTCTCCAGGGACCAAGGGCAAAGTATTCATCTGGGATGTATGTGCCCCTCCCAAGGCCTGGTCTTTTCTAACTCTTGAGTATCAGGTGTAGAATCTCACGATCTGCCCCCCTTACACTCTTCTCTTCCCCATGAACCCACAGCTCGAGGTTTCACTTTCATGGGGGTGTCCAATTGTCAGAAAACCCCTGTGGTGGGGCTGCAGTGAGATCCTATCAGCAGCAGACAGGATTTCATACCCAACAATGAGTCATTGCCATCCGTCCTCCTGTGGCCACTGGTCCCTGGGCTGGGAGGGCCTGCTGGTCAGCTCACAGATAAGGGGTGCAATATCCTGTCTGGCCCAGCCCTTCCCTGCAGATAAGAACCTTCCTCTACATCAGCGGTAAGAAAACGTGGCAGTGGGTAATGAAAGACGTTTACACAGATCAGCCCCCAGGAGGGAACTAATAAAACTTCTAGCAAACAAAGCCCCTTCTTTCACCTTCTGTTTCCCGTTATCAACAAATGAAACTTGTCATTTCCTGTCTCTTTCTCAATATTGCTTTTATTGGAACCTCGAGGGAAATGAATCTGCTCCCCCAGAGCAGGCTCACAGGTGAGGTTGCCGTTGGTGACCACGCGTCTCCCTGTCAGCCCCTCCTGGCTACCCCGCTCCCTGCCCTCGTTGGGATGGAGAAGAGGTGTCCCACAGCCTTGGGGAGACTTCGAAGCTTCCCCCACCTACGAGGTTCCTCCCAGCTGGGGCCTTGCCATGGCTGCTGCCATCATTCTGCTTCAATTATAGATGCAGCCATGTGGCCTCCAGGTGGACCCAGGTCCTGTTCATCAGCCAGAGGATAAGCCAAGAGCCGGCGCTCTGATAATCGTAAGAGCTCGCCACTTGTGATGGCTCAGTGAAAACGCAGACTGCCCTCCTTGGCCAGTCTTGGTGGTTGAAATCTCTCATTTTTCTGCTTGAAAATGGGATGACACTTGAACTTGAACCTAGAGCCAGCTGTTGGCAGTTGTTACCACTGGCATCCAGGAAGGGACCCTGTTACTGTTATGAGTACGATGAATGTGGATGGTGTCTTTAGAAATAAAGGAGAAAACATTTAGAAAAACGGGAACTGTTGTTGACCTATTACATCAATGTTGGTAACAGAACCAACCCATTAAATGAAAAAAAATGGGCTGAGCCTGATTACTGTAGATTAGCTATGAAATTTTCACTTTCCCACTGCTGATCATGATACATATATTCTGAGAACTTTGCTAGTTCATAAAGTTGAGGAAACTTATGCATAAAGTACTTCCCAGGCCAGATGGGTCCAGTTGTCTGACATAGCACCTGTGAATTAAAATTTCGATTATTCCGAATTGTCTAGTAGTTTGAAATGTGGATAAATTTTATGTGACTTTAGACTATGCAGATTTGAAAGCATGCAATATAAGCCATGAATAACATCTCATTTTATGTGGGAAAGTGGAACTGTGACTCTCCCCAATTAAAAATGAACTGGGACTCACAGTTTCAAAGCAGGCAAGCCCCCCCAAATATGAACTGTGTCTGTGTTGCTGCCAGGGTGGTCTCCTCACAATGATAGAGACTTCCCATGACCTTTGTCAGGGTTGGGCTCAGATCATGCTTTGAAATTCTGCATATTTTCAATTATCCAGGGTCCTCGAAATGCATCCCTTGATCCAAATGTGATAGCCCTACACCAAATTAGGATTAACACATACATAATAAGAAGGATCTAGATACTTTCTCATTCCAATCCCTCACTTATAAATTCCTGTAGGAAAACGCTGCTGCCATATCAATAGACAAAGGATGCTGTAGCCATCAAGCCATCACATTACAGCCGCCCTGAAAGTGAGCCCTGAGGGAACTCAGGATGTGAAAGCACAGGACACTGGTCCCAGGTAGCTGAGGTGCCCATCAAAGGGATGATTTCAGTGAGCCCAGACTCTTGCATCTTCCCAGAGATGCATAGAAAAGAGCTAAATTCCTTAACTTGAGATGTCTGGTTTTCTTTAATTAACAGTAATCTTTTGATGTTCCCACTACCTGGTCTTTGTTGCAAAAACCCCTCTAGATCCTGGCTCCCCCCTTGCCTCTTCAGAGCAGTCCCTCAGAGCTACCTGAGATGCTGTCTTCTGAGCTTGAAGTTCTCGGAAAGTCCGCCAAACAAAGCATAACTCAACTTTTAGGTTGTGCATTCTTTTCAGTCGGCAACATGGTACCCTTCATGTCCAGCGGACCTCAGTGTCGCTCGGGTTCTGTGGGTGTCTCTCTGCAGGGCACACCCTCCCCCGAGGCACATCCCAGCCCGGCTCAGCCAGTCCCTTCTCTCCCTCTCCGCCTCTGAGCGGGGAGCCAGCTTGAGGGCTACCTGGTGGTCGTTTTCATATGACCCAGGGACTGTTCTCTTGCCAGGTCTCCCCGCTTAACCAGAGCTGCAAGAGGTCAGTAGCCATTTTCTCGTCACGTGGTTCCCTGGGCCACCAACCTGGCTGGCTTTACAACCACGGAGCAGCGACAGTCTCAGTGTTTTCACTGGACGGTTTCTGCGTCACCCTCGGGAGCTGCACTGAAGAGTCTGTGGCTGTGATTGCACGCCTTCCCCACGAAGCAGAACTCCCGTCCGGGCCACACGGATAGGCGGTCGTGCCCGGAAGCCAGCCCCGATTCTCTGGCTCCAAAGCTCTCTTCCTCCCCTTGTGCTTCAGCCCAGAATCAGATCTACATTAGCTTCATGCTTCACGAGACAGGATTTGAAAATGAAAGAAAAGAGGCTCAGGTAGGGGCGGTGGCTGCCCAGAACTTCCCAAGTGCCCTCGAGCCCCAAACCCCACGGTTCAGCTGCTTCCCTTCTCCTGTCTGGTCATGTTGGTTTTCATTTGAGCCTGCAAACTGTTAATTGCTATGTACGAGGTCTTGTTTTATAGCTAAACATTAATAACTGTTTTCTTTTTGTTGTTATTATTCCTTGGCAGTATGCAGATTCGTTTAACTTTAATCCCCACAAATGGCTTTTGGTGAATTTTGACTGCTCTGCCATGTGGTAAGTTGCCCTGTTCATTAGATGTCAGTTACCCTGCAATTACACTGCTCCTTAGAATAGTTTATATGAAAGAAACCTGGCAGGTGAGGTGCCATTGCTGGCGAAGCACATACATCACTTACTGCTTTGCCTGCATTTATGAGCCATGGGTGGAATGCTTGCTAAATCTTACCCTGTTGTATGCTGTCATCTAGAACATATTGGCACAAGAAAAGAGGATAACAGAGAAAATCTCTGGTCTAATCTATCTAGCATTAATAAAAAACAGTGCTTAGTAACCTTATCACATATTTCTAAATCATTGGCTTCTATGTTTTTATTCTCCAATGTTTAATAAACCTAAGTTTATATGCCTAAAAGCATTTGCTAAGGAAAAATAAAAGCAATTCTGTTTTCTAAGCAGTCCCCTGAAAATTCTTACCAGCAGTACCGGCATCACATTGGTTATCTCTAGAGCAAGAAAAAAGAATTCCAAACTTCTAAAATGAAAGTGGCTGGTATTTCACTACACTGATAATATTTAAGGAAATCATGATGACTGGGAGTGGAAAGGGATTTTACTAGAAACTAGTTCTTTTGAGGTTTTTAGAGTAAGAAGGTGGTTAATGAATCTTGAGATCAGGAGGCTTTGCATGAATTTTGTGCAAAATTGTTCACCGTGTAATTAAGTGAATGGTTTTCCACCTTAGAAAGGTGAGGAAAGCAGCCCTCACGTAATCCGGCTAAAGTCAGTTCACCAGATAATCAGTTTCCCTTGAACTCTATCTAAAGATAAGCTACACGTTCAGTGCTTCACTTCTGTTTAAATCAAATTCTCTTTTTTGTCAGCCTTTGACCCGAACTCTGACACATGATTTTAAAACCCATTCATATTTGGGCTACAGTTTTTCTGAAATGTTAATAAGAACTGATAAAAGCTACAGCTTTTATGAATGTTAGTATTCTTGTGGTTGTGTTTGTCTATTTTACCTGGATTGGAACACTTTAAGGATAGTTTATGCAGCGTATCAAAACTCCCTTTTTTCAAACTTTAATTCAGGTTGAGATGTAATTCTGTTTTGCTGGGGTGTTGGGTCAGGTGCAAACACTGTCCGAGGGAGTTGACGGGTGGATTGTGGGTCCAGAGCACCCAGCTGGCATGGGGCCGGCAGGGGTCCCCAAGGCCTCTGTTCTGTGAGGTGGGGGCTGGCCTCAGAGCAAGTTAACTGGCAGCTAAGGGGTCCTTAGCTAAGGCATTTGGCAGAGAAAATCCACAGAGCCAGCCTGGACAGACCAGCTGACGGCTGATGGGGGATGGAGCGAGGTGACCCCAGAGGGGCTTGTGGTAAGCCGTGATGTTCCATTCATTTCCTGGGTAAAATAATAGCAAAAATGGATGTGCAAGGAGCCCCCATAAGTGCAGGCTGCCGTCATCACACGCGATTTAACCGAAGTCACTGCCCCCCGCCAGGCAGCCTTGCAGAGGACACTGGCATCGCTGCCCCCTCTTCCAGATGGGGAGACTGCAGCTGTCAGGGCCCACTGATGTATGACCCAAAAGCTGAGATGTGATAAGGATGAATACAACAAATGCAGCATCTGCCTTTGCAACCAGAAAGCCAGGGAGCGAGTTAAGGATGAGAGAAAACGTGCTTTATCCGTGGCCTTTCCCAGAGCCTGGTGTGACGGCCGAGGCTGCTGGAAGCTGCGGCCAGAGCTGGGGGCTGTGTGTGTTAATCTGTCTCAGACGGGTCCCTTCTGGCATCTTCTGTTCAGGACCAGCCCGTAGAGGGAGATTTGGCAAAGGGGAGGTGATGTATGGGAGGAGACAGGAAATGTAGGGATGAGGCCACGTTGTTTGGAGATGGAAAACGCACCTGAGCGTCACGAGCCTGTAGGCGAAACTTACACATGAGCCACGAGACACAAGAGCAGCCTCCAGTATTTGAAATTTTGCCAAAGGGAAGGGTGATTAGTCATCCCCTCGGAGTGGGGAATTGAGGGGTGGGAGCCTCCCACCTGCCGGTGGGTTTGAAAGGCTACATAAATAGAGTAAACATTTAAATTATAATAGAGGTTGTGCCTTCTCTCTCCTGAGCTATTGAGGTCCTGGCCAGAGCGACTGTCAAGGGTTTTGAGGTGATTTCACACATCTGGGAGAATCAGGTCTCTCCCAAACCCAGGGGTTCGTCATGTGATATGGTAATGATGATATGAATATTGATTGATGGATTTTGATCTTGAAGGACGCGTGTTTTAGCATAAAAATTACCCATGTCTACTATCTTGGGCGCTGTGCTTATATTACCTTGCTAGGGCTGCTGTAACAGAGTACCACATACTGGGCGGCTTAAAACTGAAATCTAATTCTGGAGGCTAGAAGCCCAAGACCAAGGTGTCTGCAGGGCTGGTTCCTCCTGAGGCCTCTCTCCTCAGCGTATAGACAGCCTTCGTCTCCCTGGGTTTTCATATGGTTATCCCTCTGTGCATGTCTGTGTCTAAATTTACTCTTCTTAGAAGGACACCAGTCATATGGGATCAGGGCCCAGACATATGGCCACATTTTAATTTAATTACCTCTTTGAAGACCCTGTCTCCAAATGCAGTCACTTTCTAAGGTACCAGGGGTTAGAACTTCAATGTATAAATTTGTGGGGTGGTGACACACTTCAGCCCAGAATAGTGCTTATAAGAAATTACTAGTTAAAGCCAGAAGGCTAAAATTTAGGGAATTAACCCAGGTCAGCTTACTTTAAACCCTAGAATCTTAATTATGCCACCTACTACTTTCTGATTTTTTGATTCTTATCAAACATAGGTTTTCCTTTGACCCCACTGCGCCAAGCACCCCTTCCCTGCAAAGACATTCTCTCTCCTTGCCCACAGGGGCGTGTTGAGCACTTCCCAGCTTGCGGGGTGCTCAGCACAAGGTCCTTCACACACCCGCCCAGACCCCCACCCCAGGGGTTGCCCTGGGTGATGCTAGTGAATCAGCATCTGCAACTGGGGACAGCCCCATCCAAACCAAGACCTACAAGGAGAAGGGAAGGTCAGGATTTAGTTGGAAAGCATTTTGTTTTGAGCGCTGTGGACTGAAACCAGAGCGCTATCATTCCTGGACTCAAGGAGCCTCAGCCATGGGATAGAGTTTTCAATAAATAAAATACAACCAAAGGAAACTGAGAACCTAAAGGAAATCAAGTCTAGTCCAGTGCAAACCGAGATCCATGGGGTGAGGAGGTGCAGGACAGGGAAAGGGCTTGGGAAGACAGACGGGAGCGGGTCAGGGGAGAAGCGTGGGGAGCTGGGGGTAGAAGGGGGTGTGTGGGCAGGACCCCTTAATCGGCCCCTTTGTTCATTGCCCAGAAGCCTGTCTGGTGAAGTGGCGTCTGACAGAGGGCACGTGAGGAGGGTCCAGACAATGCGGGTGTGGGGGTGTGGGGCAGTGGCCAGTGCAAAGGCCCTGAGACGCACGTGTGCACGACAGCAAACTCAGAAGAGGTGACAGCTACTGAAGATGGTTTCCTGTGGTCCATGTAGGTTTAAATTCCCTTTAAATAAGCTGCCCACATTTAAAAGTTGGTGTTTTTACATAAACGTGCAATTTTCCAATGTCTCATCCATTATTGAGTGCCTTTAAAGCATCATTTCTGCCCGTCTGGGATCCTGGGGCATCCTTCCCACCTGGCACAGCCCCATGGCCAGCCTGGCCCTGTGCACCTGTGAGCACCAGGCTCCTTGAGCATGCACACGTGAAAGATTATAGTTGCTCTCCAAATACCTCTGGTTTGAAGAAATGATGTACCAAGTTAAATCACAGCACCAGATTCTATGAAGAAGTGAGATGTAAACCTAAGTTCTTGGGCTGTGTGAAGAGAATTCCCCCTGCCCTTGCTGGAATGGGCAAAGCAAATGCACCTAAACCCTCATCCAGGGGTACCTGATTCTTCGGTTTACAGCAGTAATGATGCTTCGAGTACAAATTTTACATTCAAGATATTACCTGCTAGTAGGTGGCCTTTTACTTTCTCATACACCACCTCACCTAATCCTATTGCAGCCTTACTGGTATAGGAATTATCATCCCTCATCCAGATGAGGCAACTGGAGTTCTGAGATGTGCATGGGTTTGCTAATGGCACATAGCCATCCATGCTGGAGCCATGTGTCTGATGCAATAGGGGTGAAGGTTCAAAAACTATAACTGAGTAAAAAGAGTCAGATACAGAATTATGTATCTCCCAGGATGCAAATGAAGACATGCACACAAAGCAATATCAATTTCACAAACACACAGGTAAACCAAACCAAAGGATGCACAGAGAACACGTTGGAATTGTCCTGGATGGGTACAGAATAAATTGGAGAATGAGAGCTGTTTTTCGTGTGAACGAGGCAAAATTGGGCCCTGATTCTATGTCCACTTTTATTCAATCTGACTCTGATTCCACTTTCTCTCTGAATACTGAAAGTAATCCTGGATTTTAGCCCTGGCACATACAGCCTAAAGTCCAAAGGAGAGTGAATGGACCACAGCATTCCTCTCCTGGTTCAAGGCAGCTACCCCTTTGCCTACTTGAGCTGCGGGTCCACTGAAAAAGCTGGGCCCAGGTTGGGGACCCCTGTGTGTTTGCAGAGGAGGTAAACGAGGCTTGCGGCCTGGTGACAGAGAGCAGGGAGAGAAGGATGGCTAAGAGTCTACTCAGAGGCTTTTCTGCCCTGTTGTGAAAATCCAGGGAATCACATACATATATTTTGCTATTCTAAGAGGTTTTTTTTTTTTTTTCTTTGCGTTATGCGGGCCTCTCACTGTTGTGGCCTCTCCCATTTGTGGAGCACAGGCTCCGGACGCGCAGGCTCAGTGGCCATGGCTCACGGGCCCAGCCGCTCCGC